CCTGGGCTCAGGTGATGCTCCCACCTCAGCCTCCCAAGTAGCTTGCACTACAGGTGCACACTACCACAGCCAGCCAATTTTTGCAATTTTTGTAGAGACAGGGTTTCACCATGTTGCCCAGGCTGGTCTCAAACTCCTGGGCTCAAATGATCTGCCCACCTCGGGCTCCCAAAGTGCTGGGACTATAGGCATGAGCCACCACACCCCGCTGGTAAAGTGCTTTCTTTAAGTGAACAGGTGAAAGTTCTCAATTTAGTAAGAAAAGAATAAAAAATCATATACTGAGCTTGCCAAGGTCTACAGTAAGAATGAACTTCTATCCATGAAGCTGTCTGTGAAGAAGGAGAGAGAAATTCGTGCATAGTATGTGTAGGGTTCAGTCCTGTCCTCGGTGTCAGGCATCCACCGGGGGTCTTGGAATGTTTCCCCTCAGATAAGGGGGAAGTTTTGCATCCACATTTACTACTTATTGCTAAAGTATTTAAGGTAATGTGGGAAAGGGCTTAGCACCATACATGGCACACAATAAACTGTTTCTAAAGGTTTACTAAAAATATATTAAAGCCTCCCCCACCCAAAAGCACAAAAGAAAATCCATCTTCCCTAACACTTAACATCACTTCAAGCTCAGCCTCCTCCCTTTTCTTATCCCTGCAAACCCTTTGGAAATGGCAGCTGTGCCCAATCCTGTTGAAGGTCCTGAGAGATACCAACTCTCCCCTCTGATCCTTTTTCTGGGCAGGTGTCTCTGTCTCCCTCAGCACCAGGCCTGCCCCTGGCTTCTTTCCTTTCTGATCTCTCCTCCTTTGGGGCCTTGCCTCTGGCTGACTGATGGCACCATGAACACCACGAGAACCTCTGTGACTTGCATGGAGAGCTCCTGGAAAATCTGAAGTAACCGGAAGACCATGAAAAGGGGAAGAAATGATCAGCCCCTGTGGCACCTAATTAACTTTCAGACATTCTCTACTGTTCCTTATTCCAGCCCAGTTGCCTTATCAATTGGACTTTGTAACTGACCTTGGGACTCCAGACTCTATGACCCCCTCCCAGCTTGCAAAAAACGTCCAAACCTATAAAACCAACTCCTATCCCACAGCCCTCCACTGACTCTCTTTTCGGACTTAGCGCGCTCGAAACCGGTGAATGAACAGCCATGTTGCTCATGCAAAGCCTGTTTGGGGGGTCTCTTCATTCAGAGAGCGCGTTTTAACAGTCTCAAAACCAGGTCCTCAGCACTTCTCACTCTGAGCTTTCTGCCCTTGTCCTCAGCTCCTCTCCTCCTCCCATGCCCCAAGGTATGAGACAGCCTTTCCAAGGTTCCATCTGCTCTGCTCTCTCTCTACGAAGAAACAGAGGGTCCCTCAGAGCCCAGGTGCAGGCACTGGCTTTTCTAGAATTATGCACTTCAAATTCCCTCTAAGCTCTGGACTTAATGTTTCTGCCCAACTCTTCGTATCTCCAAAGGGAGGTGTATCCTGAATCACTCTCAAATCACTGTCCTGATCGCACCATTTTCCCCACTGAGAGTCAGTTCCTCTATGGGCATCACCACTGTCCCTGTTCCTCGCCCCCAAACCCAAGCTTCTGAGTCGCCCTCAATTTTTCCTCCCCACCTGCTAGCTTTCTAGTTTACCAGTCCTCTCTGCTTTTTCTTCTTAAGATGGAGTTTCACTCGTCGCCCAGGCTGGAGTGCAGGGGCACCATGTCAGCTCACTGCAACCTCCGCCTCCCAGGTTCAAGCAATTCTCCTCCCTCAGCCTCCCAAGTAGCTGGGATTACAGGCGCCTGCCACCACGCCCAGCTAAGTTTTGTATTTTTAGTAGAGACAGGGTTTCACCATGTTGGCCAAGCTGGTCTCGAACTCCTGACCTCAGGTGATCCACCCGCCCTAGCCTCCCAAAGTGCTAGGATTACAGGCATAAGCCACAGTGCTCAGCCCCTCTCTGCTTTATTACCAGTGCAAATTGTCAGAACACCCAACTTTTTCAAATTCAAACACTTAACTGACTTCCTAAATGAAGGTCAACACGATTCTCACACAGGCTTTGGTTTTGTGGATAAACAGAAGGGAGGAAGTCAGAACAAAGGGCTTTCTCCACAATCTACTCTCAGTTTCACTGGTCAGTTCTTACGCACACAGTCTCATCTAAACCTTACAAGGCAAGTTAAGTTCTTATTTTATAGATGATGGAAGGCCAAGGTAAAGGATGAGTGTGGTAACAGAATCGGGCTGTGTCTGACTTTCTTTCCTCTTTCCACTGCACTCCAAGCTGAAATGACAGCAACAGATGGTCTGGTGGAACCTAAGAAGGTTTGCAGTGTCGGGGAAATTAAAAACACATACACACTCTCAGAAATCCCGGGAGAGAGACAGAGTGAGACAGAAACAGAGAGATGATATGCATATATGTGCTCCTGGCGGGGGTGCAGGTCAAGACCTCAATTACCTGGGGTACCACCTCCAAAGTCTCTTCAGACAGTACACCTGCCTCCTGAAAACCAGACACACCAACACTGAGGAGCCTTGTTCAGACAGAGCACAGCTCCCAGGGGGATGCCTTCTCGCTGTGTTTCAGCACCAGAGCTCAGTGGGGCCTGAGCTACAGCCTTACCTGAAAGCCTAATTCTTGGTTTCATGCTTCCTTGCTACAGGAAATTGGATTCCCAAGTAGACATGATTTGCTCAAGCCCTTTTTGCAAAGGGGCTACCACAGTTCAGGCAATGGTTCAGCTATGCAAAACTCCAATCCATGTGGAAATGATTAATGTGTAACTGCTTTGTGTCATCTTGGCCATCAGGGACCACAAAGCCACAGCAAAAGCTGAAATAAATACAGGAAAATCCTTATGTTTTAAGCCAACTATACTTTTCCAGAAGATGAAATGACCATTACTTTTCCCATTAAAAGGCAAGGAGACTGGGTAGAGCACACAGATTTCCCTAAAGCAATCCTTGGGAGGAACGCTCTGACTCATGAAATCAATCCCAGGCTGCAGGGCAGGGAGGAGCTTCCAGGAGCACCTTAGTGTAATAGGGCTCTACAATAAACCCCTAAATGGGCAAAATCTTCTTCATTTTGTTGATGAGGAAGATGAGATTCAAAGAGCAAATCACTTTTTTTCCTTGCCCTAGTTCTCCAATGGGTAAACTGGAAACAGTACTGACCATCCACAGCCATGAAGGCCAGCTTTCTAAAAAGAACCACAGAGAAAACCATCAAAAAAGAAATAGTAACTCCCCTTCCAAAACAAAAGACAAAAAACCTGTCTCGGCCGGGTGTGGTGGCTCACAGCACTTTGGGAGGCCTAGGCAGCCAATCACTCGGGGTCAGGAGTCCGAAACTAGCCTGGCCAACATGGTGAAACACCTTCTCAACTAAAAATACAAAAAGAAGCCGGGCATGGTGGTGGGCACCTATAGTCACAGCTACTCAAGGGGCAGAGGCAGGAGAATTGCTTGAACCCAGGAGGTGGAGGTTGCAGTGAGCCGAAACTGTGCTATTGCACTCCAGCCTGGCTACAGAGTAACACTCTGTTTAAAAAAAAAACACACACACACACAATGAGATACCATCTCATGACAGTACGGCGATCATTAAAAAGTCAGGAAACAACAGATGCTGGAGAGGATGTGGAAAAATAGCAATGCTTTTACACTGTTGGTGGGAGTATAAATTAGTTCAACTATTGTGGAAGACAGTGTGATGATTCCTCAAGGATCTAGAACCAGAAATACCATTTGACCCAGCAATCCCATTACTGGGTATGTAGCAGGACCCGCAGTGAAGAAAACCTCTCAAACACTGAACTGAGAAAGGCAGTGGCTTTTTATTCAGCCAGGAGCTGTGGCAGGCCAATGCCTTAACAACCGAACTCCCCAAGAAGCAGCTCTTTTCCCCTTTTATAGGCTTACAACTCTAAAGGAGAAAGCTGAGACAAAATGGTGTCACTGTCCATTGGGTGGACAATTGACCTCACAATCTTTGGGTTCATTGATTCGTTAGTTCATATTCGGGAATAGGCAGGGGAAGGGGCTTACAGAGACAAGACAAAGGCAGTAAATCATTAGTTGGCAGAGGTATTTGAAGAGGGGGGCTCAGTCATATAAACGTGGAGGACATGACACAGTGCCAGGCTCTGGCTGGTAGTGATAACATTCTTTGCAACACTTTCAAGGCTTATAGATAGCTTAGATGCTGGGAACTGAAAAGGGAGTTTTCTTCCCAGTCCTTGGGCCTCATTATGGCCCGGTCAGTAGCATCAGCAAGTCCCTTGGCCATGGATTCCAGTTCTTTGGTATTTTATCTCTCTTCCTCCTTCTCATACAGAGGTAGGAGTGGAGGCCTTCAAGGAGGGAGATGGGAAGCGGGGTGGGGGGGGCTCCCCTCTTAGGTATATACCCAAAGGATTATAAATCATTCTACTATAATGACACATGCACACATATGTTTATTACAGCACTGTCCACAATAGCAAAGACTTGGAACCAACTCAAATACCCATCAATGATAGACTGGATAAAGAAAATGTGGCACATATGCACCACAGAATACTATGCAGCCATAAAAAGGGATGAGTTCATGTCTTTTGCAGGGACATGGATGAAGCTAGAAACTATCATTCCCAGCAAACTAACAGGAACAGAAAACCAGCCACTGCATGTACTCACTCATAAGTGGGAGTTGAACAATGAGAACACACGGACACAGGGAGGGTAATATCACACACTGGGGCCTGTGGGGGTTGGGGGGAGGCTAGGGGAGGGAGAGCATTAGCAGAAATACCTATTTAATACAGATGACGGGTTGCCAGGTGCAGCAAACCACCATGGCACGTGTATACCAATGTAACAAACCTGCACATTCTGCACATGTATCCCAGAACTTTATAATGAAAGAAAATTAAATACATAAAAAATAAAAATAAAACGTCCACAGAAAAATGTAACTAATCCATACAATTGGCTAATAGTTACCTTCCCTCCTTAACTCACTCACCTAAAATCAGGAGAAAAGCAACTCAAAGTCACAGCTTTTAGATGCAGGTCATAAAAGACGAGAGTAATTCGCCACTGAGGTTGCCTTCCAAGAAAAGGCAGTGGAGCCTTGATGAGAGATTTTTGCTCCCTTACCGTGTGGCCGTAAGTGTACGTGTGGCGGGAGAAAGTGGCCAGTGTGAGGCTGAACTGACCTTGCACCCGGCCTTGCCACGTGTCCCCACAGGAAGAAGGGAAGGGAGCAGGAGGAAAAGAGGCACTTTCTCAGCATACAAAGGCTCTACTCCTGCTCCTATCCGAGCACTTTAGGGGCTGGCGGGCTTTGGCGGGTTTTGCTCCACGTGCATTCACATTGAGAAATTGCAACGGCTCTGCCCGGTTTTCTGAAGAGACGGCCAAGTATGGCATCCCCTAGGGCCCGGGAGGCTGCGGGCTCGGGGAGGCGCGCTCCAGGGCCAGAACTGGCGCAAACTCCGGGCTCCCGCCACCTTGACCTGCTCCACCTCCCCGCCCCCGGCCATAGGGGGCGTCCTGGCCCGGGGAGGGTCACGGTAGCGTAAGGGGCGCCTGCACTAACCCGAGCGGCCATACCTAATTCTCTCCCACTGTGCGGTTCCCATTTCACAGACAAGACCGCGGGGGCCCTGGGAAGGTAGGAGCTCGCCCACGCTCCCGCGCCTGGGAAGCAAGCCCAGGTCAGTCCTGGCGCCCTGTGTCCCCGAGGGAACTCTGACAGGCGTCGAGTTGATGCTGGCAGTGCCTCCTCTGGCTTCCCCGCTCATTTCCTCCCTACTTTTCCCGGGAGGGCCTTAGACGCTCCCGGGGCTGAGACGGGGAGCCCCGCCAACCCCGCACTCGACGCCCAGGCCCCCAGCCCTCCCCTGCGTTCCGTCCCGGGGCAACAACAGGTGCGCGGCTCGCAGCACCCTGACGCCGGCTCCGGAGAAAGTTTCCCTGGCAGCCGCGCGCAGTTTACGGGCTCCTGGTGCAGTGCTGCGACCCGGAGCTTTCGGGCAGGCGGAGCCATTGAAACCCGAGACACTGGGAGGAGCCGTCCGGGTGCGCGGGGAGGGAAGCGGGCGGCTCTAGGCCTGGCCACAGCGGTTCCCCTTACCTGCGGCACCGCAGGCAGCCTCAGGCTTCATCCCCGGCTCAGGCAGCACCGCGCCCCGCCCGGGAGGCTGTCCCCGTGACCCTCGCATGCTCCTCTGTCTCATTCCTCCCTCGGGGCTATCGCTGCTACCCGCCCCCTTCCCCTCCCCCAGGGTCACCATCGAGTAGTCTACCCTGCTACCAACCCCTGGCTCCCCAGTTAGCAAAGAGCGTTGACTCCACCTCCCCACCTGATTCGCAAACCCCAGGATAATTTATTTCTGTTTGGTTTGTGGCGAGAAGAAACCGTTAGTGCTCCTACCCGCTATTCACAGGCACGCCCTCGCCACTGCCCGGGCCTGAACCGAACACATCCCAACCCCCTCCCACGCCCCTTCACACTTCCATTATTTCTATTTCTTTGGACAAGAATCATTTGCGTTAATCCTTTTCGAAAATGTACAAGTTGTTTCACTCCAGTAAGCTTATTTAAAAAAAAAAAAAAAAAAAAGGAAGAAGGAGAAAGAGGAGAAAGAAGAAAGAGGAGGAGGAGAGGGGCAGGAAAAGTAAATTCACCCAGTTGAAAAGGGAGGAGGAAGAGGACGAGGAGGAAGGTAAATTTACACAGTTGAAAAATAGGCCAAAGACAAGGAGGAGGAGGAGGAAAAGTAAATTTACAAGGTTGAAAAAGGGAGGAGCTACTGGGAGGCTGAGGCAGGAGAATCGCTTGAACTTGGGAGGTGGAGGATGCAGAGAGCTGAGATCGTACCACTGCAGTCCAGCCTGGCAAAGAGTGAGACTCTATCTCGATAAAAACATTTTTTTTAAAAGTAAAATATATTTCTTCAAGGTATGAAGAAGTATACATTTTTCGGTGCATGTTTTCGTTACTTTAAGTTCTCTTGTTTTTAAAAAATTACATATATAATGTCTGAACAGTTCCTTTAAAATAAGTGTGTGTGTGTGTGTGTGTGTGTGTGTGCATGGATACAGTGTATATAAAGAATAATGAACTGAAAAGGTCCCTGCTTCTCATTTAACTCCTATTTCCAAAGTCAGTATTAGTCAAATACTTCTTCTTTTCCTTTTAGTTAGTTACTGAGTTTTGCATCTTGCATGAGTAACTTGAACCTACTCCAAAACTAGAAAATAATTCTACGTTTACTTCCAGTATTTTTGCTGTTTTGATTTTTAGACGTGAATTTTTAATCCAATCTGAATTTACTGACCTATATGGCATAGGAATGGATTTAACTATATCTCATGGTTCCCACACCATTAAATAGTATATTTTCTCTACTAATAATTTGAATTATCTCTTTAACCATATGTAAAATTACCATATACATTCTAGCTGTTTTATTGACAGTTTTACTATTTCTACAACGATACTGCACTATTTTAATTACCGTAGTATTTAGCATATATTTAGCTATCTGGGACGGCAAGCCCTTTCTTGTTGAATATTGGAACCAGTTAGTTAAGGATACCAGGGTTTGATGAGATTGCATCTAGTCTTTAACATCAGTTTGCTTTAACATTTTTAACGTTTCAAATCTTCCCATTACAGCATTACAGAATATAGCATCCTTTGGGTTATTTGGGTCTTTTATGTTTTTTTTTTTTGCTAAAGTTCCAAGTTCCACAGTTGTTTTTGTTGTTATTGTTGTTGTTTGTTTGTTTTTTGAGACAGAGTTTCACTCTTGTTGCCCAGGCTGGAATGCAATGGTGTGATCTCAGCTCACTGCAACCTCCACCTCCCAGGTTCAATCAATTCTCTTGCCTCAGCCTCCCAAATAGCTGGGATTACAGGTACTAGCACACTCAGCTAACATTTGTGTTTTTAGTAGAGATGGGGCGGGGTGGGGGGGGGTTCACCATGTTAGTCAGGCTGGTCTCAAACTCCTGACCTCAGGTGATCCACCTACATATGCCTCCCAAAGTGCTGGGATTACAGGCGTGAGCCACCACACCCCATCAGTTCCACAGTTTTCTATAAATGGACCTCATACATTTCTTGCCAGGTTTATTCCATAGAGATTTCTGATATTTGAAGGGTATTGTGTATGGGCTCTTTCTTTTCTCCAATTGCATTAGAATTGGTTATTGCTAATATATAAGAAAACTCTTAGGCCCCAAGAAGTGGCTCCTGCCAGTAATCCCAACACTTTGGGAGGCTAAGGCAGGAGGATGGCTTGAGGCCAAGAGTTCAAGACCAGTCTAGGCAACATAGCAAGATTCCATCTCTACAAAAAAAGAAAAAATTTTAAAAATTAGCCAAGTGTGCTGACACACACCTGTAGTTCCAGCTACACAGAAGACTGAGGTGGGAGGATGGCTTGAGCCCAGGAGTTTGAGGATGCAATGAGCTCTGATAGTGCCACTACACTCTAGCCTGTGTGTTGCCAGAGAGAGACACTATCTTTTTTTAAAAAAGAAAGCTATTAGCTGGAATATGTAACAGTCTTATATCCAACCATTTTCAAGAGGTCTAATAGATTTTAAAAATCAATGATCATAAATATTATAGATAATCAGATTGTCTATAAATAAGTTGAATCTCTCAGCCTTCCTCAAACCCAGGATGTTGAAGATGATCCCAGCATATCAGCCACTTAACACTCACTTCTGATACAAAAATTACCCTTAGCCTCAATCAAGAAAAAAAGAAAAATGCCTTTTATATATGTATACCGGAAAATAGGGGCCCCTCAAGGGCCTGGAGCATGTTTCAGTATGCCCCCCACCTTCCATTCCATGAGGATATTAAGCTCTCTGCTGCACCCTCCATCTGGCCTCATTTATCTACGCAGGAATTTCCTCAGTGTTAAGAACATAAATGCTGCAGTCATTCCCAAGACATTTGTGAACTTTGAAAGAAAAATCCAGTAATTAAACAGCAGGGCTAACAAGCTACTGGATTTTAATAACTAAAAACTTCCTGTTGCCACAGTTGTTACTTTGCAGTCAAGAAATTGCAGTCCCTAAAAAAAAAAAAAAAAAAGATCTAGGGTTAGGAAAAATCTAAGGGAAAAACGTAAGACAGAATAAAAATAAAGACAAATTCTCCCATAAAATGGAGGAGAAATACTACCTTGTGACATATCATAGAAAACTGCCAGGAATTTTATTTTAAGTAATTGGTTTTTTTTGTTTGTTTTTTTTATTTTTGAGTTGAGGCAGAGTCTCGCTCTGTCACCCAGGCTGGAGTGCAGTGGTGCAATCTCAGCTCACTACAACATCTCCCTCTCTGGTTCAAGTGATTCTCCTGCCTCAGCCTCCCAGGTATCTGGGACTACAGGTATGTGCCACTATACCCAGATAATTTTTGTATTTTTAATAATGATGGGGTTTCATGATGTTGGCCAGGCTGGTCTCGGACTCCTGGCCTCAAGTGATCCACCTGCCTCAGCCTCCCAAAGCACTAAGATTATAGGCGCGAGCCACCTCGTCCGGCCCTGCCAGGAATTTTAAAACATCCATTTTCAAAACTATTAATTCAGAATTCATAGGTGAAGTCATACATTCCAGTATCTTCTAAATCAGTTTTTCACAGGATGTTGAAGATGATCCCAGCATATCAATGTCTTGATGGTCTTAAACCCGTTTTAAATGGTTGTTTCAGAAAACTACAAAAGTCTCGTATTTTTCATTTTTAGAGACAGGATCTTGCCCTGCCACCCAGACTGGAGTGGAGAGACCATAGCTCACTGTAGCCTTGACCTCTCAGACTCAAGCAATCTTCTCCCATCAGCCTCCTACGTAGCTGGGACTACAGGAGCATGCCACTGTGCATGGCTAAAGTTTTTAATTTTATTGATTGATTGATTGAGGTGGGCTCTCACTCTGTCACCCAGGCTGGAATGCAATGGCACGATCTTGGCTCACTGTAATGTCTGCTTCCTGGGCTCAAGCGATTCTCCTGCCTCAGCCTCCTGAGTAGCTGGGCATACAGGTGCCTGCCACTACAGCTGGCTATTTTTTATAATTTTTGTTGAGATGGAGTTTCACCATGTTGATCAGGCTGGTCTTGAACCCATGACTTCAAGTGAATCCACCTGCCTCAGCCTCCCAAAGACCTGGGATTACAGGCATGAGGCACCTTGCCCAGCCTCAAGTTTTCCATTTTAAAAGAAGTAAATGGTGTAAGCATTCGAGAAGCATACTTTAGGAGAAACTTTAAAAACATGAATGTACACTGTCTAATAACTCCAAGATGATGAAGTCGAGCTTCAGGTTCCTAACCTACCTGGGCACAGCAGCTGGATCCCACCTTGAACAACCAGCAATTGCACGTCCAGGTTTGATGGTGGGGGGTAGGAGAAAGTGCTTACCAAATTTTTAACAAATTAATTATACTAGAAAAAAATTATTTGTAAAATAATTATCCGTAAAAAAATTAATTGTCCTAACTGCTTCTGTTGTTAATTCCTAGTACACATCATAAATAGCAATTTTGAAAACAAAAATGCGGGCCATGTCTATTCAGAATGCCCTTCTAACTTAATGCTGGATGAACCTAACAAAAAAAGAAAAGCCTCCAACATGGGCAGTGGCTCACGCCTGTAATCCCAGCACTTTAGGAGGCTGAGGCAAGCAGATCACTTGAGGTCAGGAGTTTGAGACCAGCCTGGCCAACATAATGGAACCCTGCCTTTACCAAAATTAGCTGGACATGGTGGTGCAAACCTGTAACCCCAGCTACTCAGGAGGCTGAGGCTCAAGAATCCCTTGAACCAGGAGGTGGAGGTTGCAGTGAACCAAGATTGCACCACAGCACTCCAGCCTGGGCCACAGAGTAAGACCCTGTCTCAAAAAAAAAAAAAAAGCCTACAACATTTATTCATTTATTTTCTGGCCCTTTCCAGAAATCATGGGCTAGGGTACAAAGCCACAGAGGCAGAGGTGTAGAAGAGGGTGAGTTCTGAATGCTGCCTTGGTAGAGTGGCATTTTTTTTGTTTTTTAATTGAGACGGAGTTTCGCTCTTGTTACCCAGGC